TTTTTATTTATTTATTTTTTTTTTTTAATAAATTTAATAAACTGCATTTATTCTGCTCACGCAAAAATGCACGAGCATTTCAACATTACTCGCCTGATTTCACACGAGCACTGTTGAAATGCTCGTGCATTTTTGCGCGAGCAGAACCAGTTATTTTTTTTTATTTTTTTTTTCGTTTCATTATTTAAATGTTTTTTTTTATTAAATGAAATATTAATAAAGTGTTTTTTTAAAATGTAGATGGCAGGAGGCCGGGGGAAAAGTCTTATGAGTCAAGTTGCCGGTAAAGGCAAGAGCTTAATGAAAGCCTTGAGCGGAAAGGGTGACAATCCGGAAGATCCCGATCGCATTGGAGACCGAGATGTCCTTGCTTCCGCCCGTAGAAGAAAGCAGTTAGCTCGAGAAGCAGCGTTACAGCGGGAAGATGAGAGATTGAGACGAGAAGCTGTTGCAGCTGGAGCCGGACCCTGTCGACCTACACACGATCTCCAGCTAGCTCGTAGTACATTGCCACATGCCGACGATGATGATGACCACAACAACAATCCAGATAATATGTATACTGACGAGGAGGTGGAGGAAGATGATGTACATCAGGATCGTAAAGCTGGTCGTGCCTTACCCTTTCCGCAGCTGCCTGGTCCGGCGTACTTGGAGGGTCCGTGCGCGGGAGGGCCGCAAAATTTAGAGTTTATGCGATGGTTCAAGTCGCATATAGCGATGTACATTTGGGAAGGATATGTAAGTTTTTCTGTCAACACGTGCTTTACATAATTCTTATATTATTCATTATTTTTAGCTAACAATACATGCAATATTTTTCAGGAGCGCCGTGAAACTACACGGTGCGAGTCGAGGACCAAAGCACTTGAGGACTACCGCGGCCCGCAGGATAACACGATGATTGCGAGGCTGGAGGCAACAGATCTTTACCACTTACGAGACTGTTTTCTGAAGAAGATGAACAAGAACCTCATGCTAGCTTTCGTGGAGAGGTGGCAGCCGGAGACGAACAGTTTCCACATGCCATGGGGCGAGATGACGATCACGCTCCACGATGTCGCTTTCATCCTGGGGTTGCGGCTGGACGGACCAGCAGTGTCTGAAATTCGCCCGGTAGAAGAGTGCTCACAGAGTCTTGCATCTGTATTGGGTCTCGGTCTGATGGACACCAATGACATGTTTCGAAACAAGGGAGTTGGTTGGGTTAAGGTGAGAGATCAGTTGACCCTTCCCTCCGCCACAGACGAGAAGAAGATGAAGGGCTACTTGATGTTTCTGCTTGGGTCTGTTTTGTTTGTAGACAAAACAGCGTGTAACATGAAGCCGTGGTGGATCCATTTTACCAACGATCTCGATAATGTCGGCAAGTATTCGTGGGCTTCGGCATGCTTAGCAAACATGTACCGCCAATTGGGTATTGCCACCCGCGCTGGGATGAACAGTCTCTGTGGATGTGTTATTCTCCTTCTGGTACGTGTACCTTTATTAGTAATTATTTATTTATTTAAACTTCTATTTTATTTATTTATTCATTGGTGTTTGTTTGCAGTGCTGGATCTTTGAGCATTTCCCCTGCTTTCGACCACCTCTTTCCCGTTCATATGCCGAGTTTGAGCCTCGATGCAGAAGGTGGGCCCATGGTGGAGGCAATAAAACCACGCTGCAGGAATACCGGAAAATACTCGACGCCATGACCGAAAGAGATGTGAGTAATAATTTTTCTAATTATGTCTATAGTAGAGTTACGGATTTTTCTAATTAGTTTAAAATATGCTTAGGTTTGTTGGACCCCGTATGGTACCGGTGCACATTACTTACACCCTCGGAGCATGTATTACGGCACGATACAGTTCATGGATATAGTGGAGCCGTACATGCCCGACCGAGCGTTGCGGCAGTTTGGAAGAGTCCAGACTATTCCTTTCCCGATAATTGAATCGAACTTGCCACATAACCGCGGCTTGTTTGGCGCGGGATACAAAGTCACTTTCCACGCTCCTGGCGGCATGTGGCAGAACGAGTACGCCAACTTCATTGACCTGTCGCAATACCCTGAAGCCTGGCCGCCGGAAACAGTTGCCGAGGAGTACATGAAGTGGTACATCGAGCGGACGCACCGGTTCATTAGCAACCCTGATAGAGTTCCGCCTGCAGAACGGGTTGTTGCTGCGGTGCCGCCAGACCAGCCGTTCGCCAACGACATAGCTCGGCTCCTAGTTCCGATCGTGTTCGGTTTGACTGGTGACGACGCAGCAGAGGTATTCCTGAGCATTCAGCCGCAGTTGAGGGACTTGTTGACGCCACATGCCCACTATTTGCGTCTCTTACCTAGGAGAGGTCGCGGGGGAGGTCCGAGGACTCGGGGTCGGGGGTCGAGGGGTGGACAGTAGGATTATTTATCTATTTGTGTATTAGTTTCGGATTTTTTGCACCTGACAATTGGTATTCGTGTGTTGTGATTTGTTGTTTGTTTTCGAATTTAGTTTTTTGTATGAATGTTTCATTTTGGATTTGCGGATATTTCTTATTTGCCCGTATTTTGTTTACGTTGTTATCGAACTTACTTATTTAGTTATTTGTACGGATTATAATTATGTTGTATCGGACAAAATTATATTTTAATTCGTATTATTAACGAATTAAAAAAAGAAAAAAAAAATTATTTATAGCTATATATATATATATATATA